TTTCATAAACCCCTGAGTCCAGTTAGGATTGTATGTATGTGAATGGGTGAGGGACTATCTAAGTGAGCTTAACATCTTTCTTACATTGCCTTTAATGTCTCCTATCTATATGAAGATCAAGAAAAGACAAAACGCCAAGTAAAGCAGATTTTGAAAAGGAGGAAGGAAGCAAGAAGTTGTTAGTCTTTAAAAGGCTAGATTAAATTTCCCAGCAGGCAGGGTATAAAGAAAGTGATTTTGATGAATTTTTTTTCATAGAACTTGGTAGCATTTACTATTAGATTATTTGCTACTGTCACACACACACATACACACACACACACACACACAAATGATATATTAGACCAAGTGTGATAGCAACACACCTGTAATCACAGCACCCAGACAGGAGGCCAGTGTTTGAAAACAGAAAAAACAAGCCCAGAGCTAAGATCTTCAGGGTTGTTGGGAAGTCTCTGGTTCTCCGGCACTGGGCACATTATTTGGAAGTGGTTGTTAGGGAGTGAAGTGAAGATATTGAGTAGGCAGTGAGTCTGCAGTTCAGTGTCAAGATGGTCTGGAGGTAAGCATTTGAGTCATCAGTGTGGAGATACCCTTCAGAACTGAAGACTTCAGAGATGCTGAGGACTGAGAGTTATCCAGGAGGGGATGGCTCAGCCCTGCCCAACAGGCCCCCTGTCTCCTATAGCATGTCCCCCAGGTTTCTGGGGAACCAAATGTACCCAGCCCTGTCAGTGTCACCATGGTGGAACCTGCCACCCCCAGGATGGGAGCTGTGCCTGCACCCCAGGCTGGACTGGACCCCATTGCTTGGAAGGTACCAAGAGAAAGGGAACTTGATGCCCCTGACTCAAGAGAGGGTTGCAGCATGCTGGCCCCATGACCAATAGTGACCTCCTTGGCTCTTTCTAGGCTGCCCCCCAGGGGTGTTTGGTGTTAACTGTTCTCAGCTTTGCCAGTGTGGTCCTGGAGAGAAGTGCCACCCAGAGACTGGGGTGTGTATATGTCCCCCAGGACACAGTGGTACACCCTGTAAGATTGGTGAGTTCTTGGACTCCTTGGCCCTCATTTTCCCCAGGGTACTGGGACCCAAGACCCTTATACCATGCCTGTCTCTCTCAAAATGCACCCAGATTTACCATCAGAGTCCTCCCCGTGTCCTCTCTCAGTGTCCTCTTCTCAGTGTCCTCTCCGTCTCACACAGGAAGCCAGGAGCCCTTCACCATAATGCCCACCTCTCCTGTAGCGTATAACTCACTGGGTGCAGTGATTGGCATTACAGTGCTAGGGACCCTTGTGGTGGCCCTGGTGGCACTGTTCATTGGCTACCGCCATTGGCAAAAGGGCAAAGAACACCAGCACTTGGCAGTGGCTTACAGCACTGGGAGGCTGGATGGCTCCGAGTATATCATGCCAGGTGAGTGGTCAGTAAGGTGCTCCTGGTTATGTGAGGTGGAAGAGGGGAGGCGCAGCTCTTCTGGGACCAAGCGTCTGTCTTAGGCCTCCAGCCTGGCTCTGAGCTGCCTCGTACCTGTCTGTTCTACAGATGTCCCTCCGAGCTACAGTCACTACTACTCCAACCCCAGCTACCACACGCTGTCTCAGTGCTCTCCTAACCCCCTACCCCCTAACAAGGTCAGTGCGATGAGGGGTGTGCTTGGTGGGTGAGGGGGCTCAGAGCCAGTTCTCAGGAAAGCCCTGAACTTGCCTGTACTGTCCCTGAGGTGTCACTCCCGGTCAGGTTCCAGGCAGTCAGCTCTTTGCCAACCTCCAGGTGCCTGAGCGGCCAGGCAGAGCTCACGGGCCTGACAACCATGCCACGCTGCCTGCTGACTGGAAACACCGCCGAGAGCCCCATGACAGAGGTAGGTGCCTGGAGGCCTTGGAGAGGTAGGTGTGTCCAGCACCCATCAGTTCGTCTTGTTAAGAAGGGAGAGGGAGGGCCAAATTCAGAGTCCAGGAAGGAACCAGAGGTCTGACTTGGTTTTGCCTCTCAGGCACCAGCCATCTAGACCGAAGTTATAGCTGTAGCTACAGCCACAGGAATGGCCAAGGCCCGTTCTTTAATAAAGGTATGAGTACAGAGACAAGGAGGGAGGGGTTGAGCTGAGTCAAGAAGCCAGTGCCTCCAAGGAGCCTGATTTCTTTACTTGATTCTTAGGGCCCATCTCTGAAGAGGGGCTGGGGGCCAGTGTGATGTCCTTGAGCAGTGAAAACCCCTATGCCACCATCCGAGACCTGCCTGACCTGCCAGGGGAATTCCGAGAGAGCAGCTATGTGGAGATGAAAGGCCCTCCCTCAGGATCTCCTCCCAGGCAGCCTCTTCATTTCCATGACAGCCAGCAGCGGCACCCTCAGCCACACAGAGACAGCGGCACCTACGAGCAGCCCAGCCCCCTGAGCCATGGTGAGCCCTCCCTTTCCTCCACAGGGGCTGGAAGGGACTGGGATGTGGGAGGTAGGGAGAGGAAAGGGAAGGAAGAGAGTGAAACGGTGAAATGGTGGCATGATGCGGCAAGAACAAGGTCTTGGGGTGATCTGAGCTCAAACTGGGCATGATATTGGGGATGTTGCCCTGTTTCTACAGTCTGTTTCTCATCTGAAGGCTGAAGACTTGAAATGGTGTTTGTAGAGACCCTGAGGGGTGGAGTTAGTACCTAGAAAAGTGAAGAACAAGTCAGGGGAAAGAAAGGTGGAGGTAGCTGAGAAGCAGATGGGCTTGCTCATCCAGGTGGTAGCCAGCCTGCACACATGTATTGCTATACACTTTTCTTTGGGCAGAAGAGGTTGGAGAGGGAGGAGAACCAGGGGACCCTGGCTCTTTATCATCCTGTCCCTTCTGGCACCAGATGGAGAGTCTGTGGGTTCCCAGCCTCCACTCCTGCCCCCTGGCCACTATGACTCACCCAAGAACAGCCACATCCCAGGACACTATGACTTGCCTCCAGTACGGCATCCTCCATCACCTCCACTTCAGCTCCAGGACCGCTGAGGAGCCAGGATGGTATGGCAGCTTCCCAAGGCTGGGACAGTGCCTCTGTATCCTGCCAGGAGCAGGGAGTGGACCAACAGGCCATAAACATAAGCACATTTGATGAGGGAAGTGAACAGAGAGACTGACACTTGGCTCTGAGCTTCCAAGAGGGGAGACACTGGTTGGCAAAGTGTCTGGTACCCTTTCCTGAATCCACTCTTCCCTGAGGCCCCCAGGGCCCTGTGTACATAAACTGGTGGGTTAAATGTTCTATTAAGTGTGATTACAGATTGATTTTTAAAAAATGTGTGTTGAGTACCTTTTCTGTGTGCATGCCCTAGGCTGGCTTCTGAGAGTACTAGGAACAGGTTCTCCCCTCACACGTACCTTGTAGTCAGAAAGCAACCAACCCTAATTAGCACTAGCAGCAGCCCCCTCACCGGCTGCTCCTCTCACATAGTCACCTTTCATCTTGACAGTGGTAGGTTGTTCCCTGCCTGTGGTGTTGGTCTCCCTTTTGCTCTTGGGCCACACACAACTGTCAAACCTTCTGTGTCTCAGTAGCCTTGCTGCCTGCCCCTTCTGTACCACTTTACTCTTCTGGGAGGCTGTCTGTCACTCTTCTTCCCACTCCAGAGGTTGGCACTTCTGAGTGTTCTAGTTCGCATTCTGTTGGTGTGATAAACATCATGACCAAAAGCAACTCTCAACTACCAGGTCACAATCCATTACTGAGGGAAGCCAAGCCAGGAACTCGAGACCGAACCGAAGCTCAGACTGTGGAGGAACTCTGCTTATTGGCTTGCTTCCCCTGGCTTGCACAACCCAGCCCCACCTGCCCAGGGATGGCACTACCCACAGTGTGCTGGGCTCTCCTGTATTAATTAGCAATCAAGAAAATGCCCTACAGATATGCCCACAGATTAGTCTGGTGGAGGAAATTCCTCAGTTGAGGCTCCACCACTTCTTGGGTGACTTTAGTTTGTGATAACAAAAACTAACCAGCACACTGAGCTCAACTTTCCCTAGTTGCTTGCTGACCCCCGTTTGTCCTTTACATGCTTCCTAGTTGATGGAGCTGTGTTCCTTCCCCAGGTCCCCGCAGAAGGCAGATGTGCCAGGCAGCACTCTGGTGTGTTCTTTCCATGTATTACTGTATTATTAACCTAGTTTGTAAGCTCTTTGAGGGTAGGACTCCTGTGTGTATCCTCACTTTTGGTTCCCCGTGGCGCTTGGTAGGCACTTAATAAATGTTCCCCTCAAAACCGAGTGACTGAATGAATTTAAGTAACAGTAATACTCTGATAAACACGGACACTTGCTCTGAACCAGTGCCTCCCAGAGCCTAGGTTTCAGACTTTCCCAAAGGGTGGCCTTTCTGTAGGGGGACAACACAAAGGCTTGAAGGGGCTGGGGTCCATGTGTGGTACCGGTTGGGGTGTTAGGCTGGAAGACGACTCAAATGGTTCCAGCAGAGCAGAACCATCAGGAGTTGGATTAACAGATTCTCAAGGATGTGACCTCTTAGATCAACTCATTAGCTGAAGTTGAATAGACGTGAAGAGAAATTGAGCAGTTCCAGTACGAGCAAGTAGTCTGGGGTGAAGAGACACCCATCCCAATCTGAGCAGGCTGTCTGGGCCCTTACCCTATGCCCTCTGTCCTTACTTAGGGTGGTGGGTGGGACCTAGAGAGTGGATCTGGACTCTCCCTTCCTAGTGTCCGTCCTCTGACGGCCACCATCTCCACGGCTCAGCTTCTCATGAGTACGGATTACCTGGTGCCTGCCCCTGTGCTCTAGGATGCGCACATCTCCCTTTGAGGGCCCCATTTCTGGGTATTAGGCTGCCACAGACTCCACTTGGCCTGGCCGGGCAATCCCCGCCCACTAGCTCCGCCCGCGCTGCTCCACTTGCCTCGGCAGTTGTACTGGTCGCCGGCCCGCCCACCGAAGATCGGTTGTCCCGGAGAGGAACGCACAAGATCCCCTAGTCACGCTTGTGGCTGGCGGATGGGATCCGGTGGGTGGACGCCGAACGGAGATCCTCAGGGTAAGACCCAGAGTCTTGTCTCACCTTCTTGCTCACTCGAGGGTCCCAGAGCCACCCAGTATGTCAAACGAACCAAATGCTCCGGGGACTTCACCCCGGACTCCTCGTCCTGGGACCCAGAAGTCATCTGGTGCAGTGACCAAGAAGGGGGATCGCGGTGCGAAGGAGAAGACAGCAACTGCCCTGCCGCCTGTGGGCGAGGAGGAGCCCAAAAATCCTGGTATGCTAGAGGCGGGGTGAGGAATCCAACCTCTGGGCTGTGGCTGTTTTCACCTCTAAACACTGCTCACTTAGTCCGAAGGAGTTCCAGGGCGTTTTTTTTTTTTTTTTTTTTTTTTTTTTAAAAAAAAGACAGGGTCTCTCTGTAGCCCCAGCTGGCCTGGATGTTGCTGTGTAGATCAGGCTGGCCTCGAACTCACAGGATCTGCCAGCCTCTGCCTCCAGTGTTGGGATTAAGGGTATATGTCACCATGACAAACTCATCACAGGTTGGCCTTAAAAAACCCACATTGTTTTGTGATGCTGATACTAAAGCGTTGAGAGGACAGCTCTGCAGGTGATGGGAAGATGTGGTGTTAGGGGGCTGCCAGAAGGGTCTTTGTGCAGAGCTTTATAGATACTTATCCAACAACTGCCAAAGGCTGCCCTTGTCTGAGCCTTCTGCTCTGGTGGAATTTACATCCTATTTGAAAAGAAAATAATTGAAGTCATATAAGTAGGGCTGTGGCTTTGTTGCAAGTGATATAACTCCCCAACTTGAACTAAGTGAAAAAGGGGATTTGTCAGAAGTCTTTTTTAAAAAAATTAATTACTTTTATTGTATGAGTGTTTTGCCTGCATGTATGTAATGCACCATGTGTGCAATGCCTGTGGAGGCCAGAAGAGGGCATAGGATCCTCTGGAACTGGAGTTATGGACAGTTATTAGCCGCCATGTGGATGCTAGGAACAGAACCTGGGTCCTTTGCAAAAGGGTTCTTTCTCAGGGTAACCTCAACAGTACTGCCAGAAAGTTCCTTTCTATGAGCTCTTGCTTTCCTACCTGTTCCTCTCCAGTGTTTTCATTACTAGTCTTAGCAAGGGTAGCTTCTAGGAGGGGCCGTTGTGAGCAGGAAGTCCTGCTGCAGACTGCCTGGCAGGAACTGGTGGTGGTGTTAGGGTGGTGTGTGGAGGCGTGGGGGGTGGGGCCCTCACCCTGCTGCCACCCCTGCAGAGGAGTACCAGTGCACAGGGATCCTGGAGATTGACTTCACTGAGCTCTGCACCCGCTCAGGCTACAGGGACTTCCCTAAAGTTGTCACTCGGCCCCGGCCGACCTTTGTCCCTTCAGCCTCCATGTCAGAAAAACCCACCCAAGGTGAGCCACAGCCTGCCCAGCCTCGACTTCCACAGTGGGCTGGGGTGGGATCCAACCCCGGCTTCTTGCACCCTGCCCCCTCCTGCTGCTCCCGGCCCTCTAGATGACCAGCAGCTGTCGGCATCCTGCAGCCTCAACAGCCTAGAGAGCAAATACTCGTTCTACCGGCCCACCATCCAGGTGGAGCTGGAGCAGGAGGACAAGGCAGTGAAGGAGATCTATATCCGTGGTGAGCGCCATCCCGCCTCATCTGCCTCCATCCCACCCAACCACTTCCCCCGACTGCCCCCTCCACCCTGCTTTTTATCTACCAGGCTTCTTTCTCTCTTCCCAGGTTGGAAGGTTGAGGATCGGATTCTGGGTATCTTCTCCAAATGCCTGCCTTCCCTCAGCCAGCTGCAGGCCATCAAGTGAGGGGCAGTGAGGGAGATGAGCCTCCTACTGGGTTGAGAGAGGCAGAGGCCTCTCTAAAGACACAATGGAGGGCATGTCTGGGGTGGGGGACTGTGGGAAGGGGCTTCCAGTAGGAGATGTGGTCAAGATGTTTCTGTGTTTCTAATACCAGCTTGTGGAATGTGGGGCTGACGGATGAGACCCTGACCACTTTCATCACCCTCTTGCCTCTCTGCTCATCCACACTCAGGTCAGGAGTGGTCAGCCCCCAGTGCCTGGGCAGCCTAGATGGTGCATGTTAGTGGGAAGCAATTGGGTACAGAGCTAGCAAGAACCATCACCTGTAAGCCTGGGCTGGCATCAGTATGGAAATGAGGCTGTCAGTTGCATGGTGGGTTTCCACCTGAGGCCCCACCTATTCGCTTCATCAGTCTGACCACCTTCTCTCTCCTTGGAGAGTATTTTCCAAGTTCCACCGCCCAGTGTAGGGATTGATAAGATACCATTCCTATCTGGCAGGAACTCAAGTCAGCAGGAGAGAAGGGCCTGGGACACATGCTCTGAGGCAGTGTGGGGGCTGTGGAGGTGGGGAATGGCTCAAGTGGAAGGGCTTGCTTGTCCTCAGTGGTACCTCTAGGCTCTTAGACCCCCCTCCCGCTCTCAGGAAGGTGTCTCTGGAGGGGAATCCTCTTCCGGAGCAGTCCTATCATAAGCTCGTGGCGTTGGAGAGCACGTGAGATTCCTCGACCTTACTTTCCTTTCCTGGCCTGTCCGCCATTCCAAGTCATCTTTAGTGCCCACCTTTGTTTGGTCCCAAGCACCTTCAATCCCAGCCCCTTTAGATTAGATGGAACCCCACTGACCTTAAATTTCCCAGATTGCTGCTAGTGTCCAGGAGCACCAGTTCTCCTCCCCGCTGTTCCAGGATCTTTCACTTGTCTTTGAGGAACAACAATATTGACGACCGTGGGGCGCAGCTCCTAGGCCAGGCACTGTCCACGTTGCACAGCTGCAACCGGACCCTCGTTTCGCTGAACCTGGCATTCAACCACATCGGGGATCAAGGCGCGGGTTACATCGCGGATGTACGGGCATGAGTGGCAGGGTGTGGCTGCCTGGGACCAGCTGCTTGCCATCTCACGAGTCCCTCCAACTCCGCAGGGCCTGCGGCTTAACCGTTCCCTTCTCTGGCTGTCCCTGTCGCACAACCGCATTCAGGACAAGGGCGCATTGAAGCTGGCTGAGGTGGGTAAGCCCACAGGCAGGACAGAGGTGGTCCGGATGGTCCAGTGGGACCCAGTTGTCTTGACAGCCAGCGGCTGCCTTGCACAGGTTCTGCGCCCCTTCGAGCTGACTCACACGGAGGTGGTGGAGCGTAGACGCCTCCTGCTGGTGAAAGGGTCACAGGAGCGGTTGCATTCGGTGAGGAGCCACCACCGGGTCCTGGACAAGTGAGCACTTGCTTTACAGGTGATGTTTTTCCGCCTGCCGGCCTGGCCTCCAATTTCTGTCTACTGTTTGCCCCTCCTCGACTTTTGCAGACCTAGTGTTTGCCACGTGGTGCACAAACTGCAGAGCCTCTCTGTGGCCACTAGCGTCTACTTGCTGGAGTCACCTGGCTGGAAATTACACCCATCCATATTAACGTGTATAACCTTGAACACATTACTGGCCACTATGCCTCACTTCCCTCAACTAAGCAGGGATAATTGTTCCCTTTTCACAGAACTGAGGCCATTAGTGAGTTAATACAATTCATTTAGAATACTGCCCAGAACTTAGCTCAATAAAATGCTGGCTAGGCATGATGGCTTGGTCTGGTAAACCTTGTCAGTGGGTAGGCAGAGGCAAGAAGAGTAGTTCAAAGCTAGCCTGGCTCTAAGACTCATAGGCTGGAGGTGTGGTGTAGTAGTACGGTGTTTGTCTACCACACATAAGGCCCTGGGTTTGATCCCAGGTACGACAATAAATAAAGCAAGCTATTTTTCCCCTGAGGAGTGTCTGAGTCCCTAGCTCATCCTTGCCAACAACCACTTGGTCCCATACCAGTTGCTTGAGTGTCTACCCAGGGAGATGGGTGGTACATGCTGTGCTGTCAGTCTAACTGCTCCCCAGCCTGAGGACAGGCTTTAGCTGCTTCCTCCACACCCTCCCCTTTGTGAGCACAGCCCTCTACCTCCCGACACGTGGACTCCAAAATGGACCGTGAGAAGTCTCAGATGGTGGGGATCAGCAGTGTCGCATCGGTGGACAAGCAAGAAAAGATGCAGACAATGAAAACCCCTAAGGGCCTGAGCAAGAAAAAGAAGCCAGGGGTAGGTGTGCTTGCGGGGAAGGGAGCCTTGGGCCCTGAATGAACAGGAGCGGAGCTTCCTTGGAGTACATGGCCTCTGAAGGTCCCCTCAGGCACAGAGCCATCACACTCTCCCTTCAGAAGGCATGATGTCCATCTGCCTTCTCATATCCTTCATAGGAAGTGATAAAGAAGGAGGAGAAGTCAGGATCTGGGCAGTCGCCCACACAAGGAACCCCTAAGAAAGAAGATACCACAAAGTTCAGCAAGGGGAGTAAGTGTGAGGGGAACCTTCCCTTCCCTTCTGAGGGGAACCTTCCCCATGTGAAGGAAGGGAGGGTCTTGGGCAAGGTGCAGGAGTTTGTGGGCTGGCTGTGTCTGCCAGGAGCTGGTCTTGGTCATGTCTCTCCCTGGGCCTTGTTTCTAAGTGATACTCCACTTAGCCCAGATGTTGTGACACACTATCCTGTTTCTCAGGACTAGGCCTCCATGGCCCTGTCCTCAGAAAAGGAGCCTCTCAGCTGGGTGGAGGCTCCTTGTAGCTATGTTCCCCAAACACTCAGAATTCATGGAGTCTCTTCCATACCAAGCACCTTTTCTCCGGGGAGTCTGGGTGGTGTCAGGGGTCTGCTCTGTGCATTCTGGCTCCTCTTCTGGCCCCAGAGGCGACCATCCCTGAGCAGAAGATGAGTAAGGTAAAAGGGATGAAGATCGGGAGCAAAGAGAAGCACAGCAGCCTCTTGGAGTCAGAGGTGAGGCACACGTAGAGCAGAGGGGCACAGGCACTTGGTACTGCGCCATCCAGCTCTCTGCTGTGGCAGCTGCTTCTCTGCAGATACCCACTCCAGGGTACACATGAGCCCTCCGTGACCTGTGCTTACTGGGGGACTAACACTCACTGCTCCCTGTTCCCCTTCCAACTTGGCAGGCCTCTTTTCCTTGTCTAGGAGTGGCCCCAATTTGGATCTGCTGTCCAACTGAGGCTGTGTCCTTGGAGGCCAGCAGCTCATCACTAGCCCCTCCAGCATCAGCCTGATAGTTGCCGAAACAAAGCTTCCTTCTGCCCCTCAAAGCACTCTGAGTCATGGTACTGCACCAAGCAAGGCTTCAGATCCTCCCCCACTTTTCCTTGTGACTCAACCTGCTCCTTAGGAAACCATCCTGGAACAACTTCTAGTTCTAATTCCCCCAGTCCTCCATCCTGTCACCTGCCTGGTCTCTGTCCTGTCCGTTGGAAAACCCACACAACCCTGTCACATTCTCCTAGCAGGGAAGGGGCCCTGTTCTTTTAGGAGTCTTTCCTGGCACCCTACACAAACTGACAGAAGAGCAAGTCAGACAGAAGCAGGGTCGTTTTCAATTCCTGCCTTAGTCTTCACCTCTGTCTTGAGCATGCTGCTACTTCTCACAGGGCCATTAATTAGTTCCTCATTGTCTTCAGTCTGCTCCCCTCGTGGAAGAGTTAGGAATCCCTATTAAAGCCCTAGTACTGGTGCTGACTCCTGGCTCAAGAGCCTTTGCACTTGCTGTGTTCTTTACTTGGAACACTTTTCCTCATCCTCTGAACTTCAGTTCCCAGACTGCCTCTTTCAAGACTGGGCTAGATGTACACCCCAGCACCCCGCCCCAGGGAGCACTCCCATAGTACTGTTTTCAGGGGCCATGCCACACCACATTCCTGTTTTATTGTCTGGCTCCCCAACACCGGGAAACTTGAGGGTATGGGCTGATTTGTTTTTGTGCCCCCACCACCTAGGATAGACTCGATTATAGCTGGCACTCAAAACCTGTATGTTGAATGAATGAGCCTGTTGACCAGCTCCCCTCTTCTCTGCTGCAATTATGTTTTGCTTTAGTAGCTGGTTGGTGAAGCTACAGAGATGGTTAACCCGCTCCTGGAGCCCGTGGAGCACCATGATGGGAAGGTTTTCATGCCTGGGAACAAGGTCCTTTTGCACCTCAACCTCTTCAGTATGTTTACCAACCTCCCCTGCCTCTGCCCCAGGGATGCCTGGGCTCCATCCCACTAGGGGGTGCCCACTCCAGCTCCTGGTTGGCCAATAGTTGGGCATGATGTTGTCAGGTCCATGAGCCTGGGGCTGAGGGGAGGTACTGTATCAGAGAGGGGATCCCAAACAGTAGTGAGATGAGTAAGCACGCCAGGTGGGAAGGGCATCACAAGGGAAAAGGGCAGTGAGGAGAAGGGTTAAAGAAAGCAGAGTGGGATGAAGGGCTAGTGGGGAAAGGCAGTCCCAGCTGTTAAATCTAGGGAGAGGGGACTGGCTGCCAGGTATGGTGTCCAAGGCCACTGTCTGTACCTCCTTTCAGGAAACCGCATCACAGAGGTGGGGCTGGACGGCTTCCTCACCGCAGTGCAGTACCAGGTGCAGGTCTCCAAGCCCAAAGCTTCGTCCAAGGGTCCCATGGGGCTGCTATCATTGTCTTTGGCGGTGAGTCCCTGGAGCTCTTGGTTGCTGCTGTCTCCCTGTTCTGAGGCAGGTCTGCCATAACCTGACTGTGGCTCTCTGCAGCCACATGTTCCCCAAACCTCGCCCGCCCCGCCCCCTCCTGCTCTCTCCTAGCACTAATCTCTCTTGTCAGCTTTCTTTTTTTCTTCTTTCAGAAAAATTGCTTTGACCCACAATGTCCAGCATACACCATGATCCAGGAACTGATGTTGCCCAGAGATCCTGTCAAGGCCAAGCTCAGAGAGGAGGAGGCCACAGCTTTCCCCACCTAGCCTTCCACAGGCTGGGCCACAGAAACACATTGTCCCTGTCTCCCTAGGGAGAGATCATGAACCAGTTACATAATCTATTGCTGCAATGTTGTTTGAAAATTGTTCCAGCACTACTTGGAACATTTGGACTCCTGAGTCTGTCTTCTGTAACATGGCTACAAATGGCAGAGTGATGGCCTGAATCACTTCATGGCTTGGTTGGGGATGAACTGTGCTTCTGGTGAGAGCCAGGGCCATTGCCCCAGCTCCTCAGTGAGTGCTTCCCACTCCCCCAATCTGGAGAGCATGCTCTCTGCCAGCCTGTGTGCAGCTTTAGGACTCAGAAGTTAGCTGCTACTGGATGGGGTCAGTCAGCACAGTGTGGGAGGAAGGAGAGGGCCAGGCCCATCCTCTAGCATTCCCTTCTGCTTATCTCCAGCCCACACGGTTGTCTGGTTTGCAAGCGGCCAAGGCTGTTTTTAGATATGCAGATGCTCCGGGGAGGATTCTGTATCCATATCTTCATAGCAAAGGTCAAACATTAAACACAGTGGGTCAGCAATTTGAAATTGGGGACACCCAGAGTAGGGGTTCCCAGGGCCTGCCTTTTAGTACTTCGTTAAGGCTTCTGGGGAGTCCACTCAACCTATTGGGAACATCTGGCAAAGATGCATTGATGCCTCTCATCTTTGGGCCCTTGCTCCACATCCTATCACCTCTGCCTGTTATTGCTGTCTCTGCTGGACTCACTGCCTCAGCAGTGGCTGCTGTCACCAGGGGCACCTCCTATTGCTTAAAGTCCCAACACTGAGTATATTAAGGTGCACCATCAGCCATCATGGCCTCCCCAGTTATCCCTGCCAGGTTCTCTAAACCTCTGGTGCTCCCACCATATCTGTGGGAGGGGGAGGGAGGAGGACAGTGAAAAACTGGCCAGGCCTGAGGTGACCTCAAGTTTTGCACCTGAAGGTGGGTAGCTCATGAGATTGCTGCTCCTTTGTGTGAAGTGACCACAACATCTTTTTGGGTTTGGGCTACTTGTAGTCCAACTGTCAAGAGCATACCCAGGTGAAACTTGGGGGGGGGGTGGCAGGGAGTGGGAAGGCCTGGTATGGGGTGGGAGGTAGCTTCCCCCGGTTCCCTCTATCTAGTCTTGACCAGTCTCACAACCAATAGCCTTAGCACCCTCTATCACAGCAGTCTAAGAATGACACACACAACCGTAATTGAAGAATATTTAACTTTTCTTAAAAAAAAAAAAATCTTAACCATGAAAGGAAGAAAATAAGAGTATACATTATCTTAACAGCAAAACAGTCATTTTCATATCTATATTTTATATATTATATATATTTATATATATATGTATATATACACCTAGCACAGTGTGTATGCTCATTAGTGGGGAATGGAGTGAGGATATGGTGATGGAACAATCTGTGGTGGCCCCCGGGGAAGGGCCCTGGCTTAACTCAGGGATTCTGGCACTCCAATCTCCCACACCTTTCCTGGGGTCTGTATTGAACTCCGTACCTGATATATTGGTTTCTATGGGGTAAGTGGGGAAGGGGTGGGTGTAGGTGGGGTAAGCATCTCCCTGCAGGTACCTCTGACAAGAGAAGGCCTAAGCTGTAGAGGGGGTTCTTGGAGCTTGACAGGGCTGGAGGCTGGGCGACCTGCCTATGTGACAGGGTCCTAAACTGGACTGCTGACCACTTCACGCACCTTAGCAGTCTCTGACGTAAGCATGCCAGGGACAGAAACAAAAAAGGCTGTTATTTACAATGGCAAAGATGCACATATAAGACATAGGCAATCAAAGGGACAAAAAGGAGAGTAGTGTACCTAGCTCTGTCCTGAACCTGGGAGGGAAGAAAGTGCATTTACATAGAGGCCTCCTCCCTTGATCTGCACACCTGAGGGTGCTGTGCCAAAGAGCACACCCCACACACATTATGTGGGTATGCGGGGTGAGTGGGTAGACCCTGCATCCTGGGAGGCCTTTATGATGTGGTCACCATGCTTAGGACACTGAAGCCACAGAAAGTTGGGCTTTGGGAGGGACAGTGACACTGTAACTGGACTCTGTCCACTGTGAGCAGATGAAGCGACATGTGGTCTCCTCCAGGCCTCTGTGGCATCTTTCAAGGGGGAGGTTTGGGTCTCCCACTGCTGTATGTACTTTGGCTCAGGCCAGTCTCTGGCGGTGGAGATACAGAGATGTGGTCTGGATGGCTATGGTCCTGGTGACACAGCTGTGTCTGCAGTGCTCTCTTCTAGGCGGGTGTCAGAGCCTGTGGAAGGATGGTGAGGGTGAACTGCTGGCCAGTTCTGAGGTGACCTCCCTTCTATTTTGTCCCTGGTTGGCTTCCTCTTCAGAACCATCTGTGACAAAGCTTT